TTTCTCATTTTCAGTCAAGAGGATCTACTAGAGATGGTACAGGAGTTCATGATAGCATCGTCAATCAGCTGCTTACAAAGGTGAGTTATCAGTTTCAAATATTTGCTGAATCTTAGTTACAGATTAATAGTTTTTACTTATTCTTCTCCATGAAACAACAATGGGGTTCTCATGGTTGTGTCAATAATGTAATTTCCATGACTATGATGCTACTTATCCTGCAGATAGATGGCGTGGAGTCTCTAAATAATGTTTTGCTTATTGGAATGACCAACAGAAAAGATTTGCTTGATGAAGCCCTTTTAAGGTTTCTCTTTCCTGCCTTTATTTGCACCCTCTTCCCTTCAGTTTCTGTTACCGAATTGCACCATCTCACTTTGGATCATCCTATACAACGAGAGGCATTGAAGAAAGTAAAGACTAGAAACAAGTTTTAATGGATTTAACACTTCTTGACATGTTGTGGACTATGCTTGTTCTGGGCCACAATTGAGTGTTACTTCTTAAGGAACATGTGGCAACCTATGAAAAGATTTTTAACCTGTGATCTAGAAAATACAAGGGGAAAATATATAATCAGAAGTGAGTTTTTGCTTTTAAAATATGCAATGTGTCTGTACTTACAGTTTATTAGTTCATTTGCAGAGATTTAGATCACTGATGTAGTATGAAGAATTACTTGCTAATAACTTCCTAAGAATTTACATAAATCTTTGATCTTTTGGGATGTAGACCGGGACGCTTGGAGGTTCAAGTTGAGATTAGCCTTCCAGATGAAAATGGCCGCTTGCAGATTCTTCAAATTCATACAAACAAGATGAAAGAGAATTCTTTTCTTGCTCCTGATGTTAACCTTCAAGAACTTGGTATGTCTATCACTGACATATGTCTGTGAATTTTACTTTCTTCAGTGCTTTGGAAGGACTAACCATTGAAGGGGGAATTTTGTTTGTTTATCCCCTCCTCCTGAGTGCCATTGTTAAGATCACATCAGCTTTAAGATGAATGCTTTTGTTTGCTTAAACTAATAGTCAGCTTTTGGATGAATAATTTTGTTTTCTTAATTTACTACTCCTAGACTCAATTTATTCTAGAATATCTTTGGTTGGACTGTTGGATTTCGATATTCATTCTTGAACAATTCTGTTAATTTAATATATGCAAGTGCCATGGAAGATTGAGAATTTAAGATGCCTGTCATACCAATAATTGTTATAACTCTATTTCCCAGACGAATCATGGAATTTTTAATAATTTCAAAATTTTATCTGATTTTGAAGTAAAAAATAATAATAATTAGGTAGGATGCAAATGCCTCAAAAGCTAAGATGAATTATATTTGGATTGTTCTTCTGATGTCTATATAGATAAAAAGTGTATGAAACATTTATCTTGTGGACAACTTCGACCGTTATTCATGATTCCTAAAAGTTCTTATGGGCTCTAATAATTTATTGTCCAGCTGCTCGTACAAAAAACTATAGTGGAGCGGAACTTGAAGGTGTTGTGAAAAGTGCAGTATCATTTGCTTTGAATAGACAGCTAAGTATGGATGATCTTACAAAACCAGTGGATGAAGAGAGCATTAAGGTTACAATGGATGATTTTCTCAATGC